GCGACCCTGACCACCTCCGGGCCGAGCACCTCTCTGAGCCTAGCGGCCAGAGAGTCGGCCTTTTCTGGGGCTGCCTCGCCCCCCACCTCCAGCATCCGGGCGCCGGTGGCCGCCCTGCGGAACTTGACGTCGGCGATGCCAAGTTCCGCGAGGTTAATACGGCTTTTGGCCTCCGCTAAGACCGCGGCGTACGTAGCGCCACTCTCCTCTGCTCCCGGAGCGAGAGTGAGCGTGACCGCCGCGGTCTTAGGGGCCCGCAGTTTGGTCTTCTTTTCGTGGAGGCGAGTATTTTCCGCCCCCATTGCCGCCTTCTTGGCTGCTTTCTTGGCCCCGCGTGACACTACCGTGGTCCACGGGGCTTCGGCAGGCGTCGGGGCAGGCCTGTCCCTTGCCTGGGCGGCCTCTTTGGTAGCCAGGCTCGGCTGCTTCTTCTTCTTTTTGCCCTTTTTCTTTTTGGGCGGAGCCTCGCCTGGGGCCGCCACCGAAGTAGACGCCCGGTCCTGGGCCCCGCTGCCCGATGTTGTGGGCAGGGGCTCTTCGGCTGGTCCCTTCTTCTTCTTCGCCCCCTTCTTCGCCTTAGGGGGCGAAGAGGGGGGGCCGACGTCTTCCTCTCTCCTGTCCGCCGCCAGTGGCGGCCGGCGCCGCGGTTCGGGGAGGAGACGGTCCTCTATACCTGCCAGCCTGGCGTTGAGTATGGTGCCAAACGTTTCCACGTTGGCACGCGATACTTCCTCCAGCAGCTGACGGATGTCTGCTTCGCCAGGCTGGGCAGGTCGACGCTTGTCTATGTCTTTGAGCTCGCGCCGTAGCTCCTCCATATCCTTTTGGAGGCGCGCGTTCGCTGCTTCCAGCCGCGCCACCTCCTCCGACATAGTCCTTTCTCTAAGCTGGGAGACGGCGGCCTTGATGTTTGCCGCCGCCTCCTTCAGCGCTTTCACCAACGTCCCTTTAATGTTTGTGGACTTGGTTGCTACCTCCAGTATTGTCCTCAGTGATGCCTCAACGCATTGGTTGAGGGCAACACTGGTCTGGTCCTCCTCTAGTTCCGCCAGCGAGAGATGGGCCGGGCCGGATGGTATAGAGGCCCGTGCCTCTCTCGCTGTGCGCAGCGACGCGGCCACCTCGGCGTCGGCTAGTTCAACATTGAGGGGCCGGCCCCGTCCTCGTTTCGATTTGTGCGCTGCCCCCTTAGCGGGAGCAGCGCCACTTGTCTCCTCCGGGTCAGAAGAGCCCCTTCCTCTTTTAAGGTAGGCCCTTCTGCTGGACTCTCCGGACACGACCGACATGTAGCTGGCGGCCGAAGAGTCCGAGTCGAAATCGGTGTTTAGCGTCGTAGCGCCTCCGTCTAGACCAAGCGAGTCGCAACGCGTCAGCATGACCCTGAGCGTGCGCCCGTTTTCTGCGAAAGACTCGAGCCACTGACCCCTCCCACTCTGGGTCGGTGTGGTCGAGCCCCCGCTTCCTTCCTCCGTCAAAACTGTATCCCGTTCGCTTGCTTC